CCTGCCACGGAGAGGTGCTTCTCCCCAGCTGCAGCAGATCTGGGGCCAGTGGGAAGAGGTGCCTCTCCCCTGGCCGTGGCAGGTCCGGGCTGGGCTGGGGCCGGCGGGGAGAGGTGCCTCTCCCCTGGCCGTGGCAGGTCCGGGCTGGGCTGGGGCCGGCGGGGAGAGGTGCCTCTCCCCTGGCCGCAGCAGATCCGGGACTGGAAGAGAGGCATCACTCCTCACCGTGGCCCTGAGCACCTGCGTGGCACTTAATAGGCTGCTGCGTGGCCATGCAGCTTAGAGGGAACTTAGCCTGCAACACTGCTGAACAGTTTGATACATTGTTGTTTGCCATTACCATGTGTTTAGGGCCCTTCAATCACTTTTCAGTCCGTGGCAGTGCTCAAAGTCAAGCAATATAAATTTGTTTTTGAAGACAAACTATCAAATACTTTCCTGAAATACTGCTGCCCCACTAAGATTAGTTTTTTATAGCACTTGCTTGTATCTGAAAAAGTTTGCGAACTTTTGACTGGAAAGATCAGGAGAAAGGCTGCCTTTTCTCAGAGAAAAAAGTTGGTCAGATGATCTTACATAAGGCATTAGACCATTTTGACGAACAGTGATTAGGTATATCAGTTAGCGATTAGTTCTATCAATAACAGCCAAGAAAGCACGAAGAGTTCACAAATATTGTCTGTGGGAGCACTCGGCATATCACTAAGACTCCTATTAAAAAAGTTCCCCCTCCCCATTTCCAAATATTATAAAAAACTATGTTTTTACTGTGTGAAGTTTTTTCTGCTGTTTAATACGTGTTTTTCACCTGGCACGCTACACCCACAAAACTTGGAAGTGTTGAATACCTTGAGTAAGTTTTATTGTCTTGATTTTCCACCCTAAAAGCCACATCTTATTTTGTTATTGTTCAAGTGAGACCATAATTCCAAATGTCAATTTGTATGGAATTCTACTTTCACTAAAACAAAGTTATGCCTGACGCTCCCACTGGTACAGTGTTTTCTGAAATAAGGCCCTCACACATTTCAGAATCAACTGTATCTGATATTGCCAGAAAGTGGGGCTCTCACTTCCTGTCTGCGACATACCACAGTTGTGTTTCCCTGGACCATTTAAGTACTTAAACCTTATGCCAATACAAAGCTGAAATTTAAATACTGTTTTGTGACATCCACGAACTCTCCTCTAAGCCACCTGACATCCAGGATGGGCAAGGGTATTAAAAGCCACTTGGGAATCTGAATCGCTTTGAAATGAAGAGGGAGGGTAAAGACTCATCTAAATTTCCGTTATTAACCACCATTTTTTCTGACTACTTATGTACTATTTCCCCTCACTCCCTGTATCCTTTTGATGGATGTGACTATATAGTCTGCCAATTTCCTCTAAGATATCTTATGACTTTATAGCAACATTGCTAAGGGATGCTTCTCAACAATGCAGGGTGCATCAAATAAGGCAAAATAGGCTTCTAACCCATACCCATTAAAGAACTATAGAAGAATCATTCATCAAAACCAGAAAGCTGTCCTTTACTGAGCCTCAACTCTGTGAAAATACCCATCAGAGACCAAAAAACCATCCAGCACCACTGAGGTGAGCATGTGGCTTTCTTGGTCAAACTAACACCACAAACAAGCCCCAGGAAAGGGAGCTGACTGCCAATAATGCCACAAAAAAGAAAGTGGCTTCGTGCCCCTCTCCTCATCCCTAAGGGCCGTTTTTCAGTCAGTAAATTATCCTACCTTGGGGCGAGGGGAAACTTGCTGAGGCAGCGGCAGAACCAAAGTCAGCGAATCCTCCGAACGGGTCAGTTGATCCACCTAGAAAGGAGAGGAATCACAGGGTTGTGGAGCGATGCCCTGCTCAATGAACTTGACAAGGGCTTTCTGTAAGCTGCTTTCAGGCATTTCGTTTTATTTTTAAACCTCCCGCATTTGGCAGTCAGGGTTGGTTGAGTCTGTCGTATGTCTGTACCATTTTTTGAGGCTTTATTACCACCACCATTCTGTATTTATATGAACCTAGACAAACTGGATATTCTTGCCTATGCTGCAGATCTAGCGGATTGTGCTTTGCCATATAGGTGGCAGGGAGAACAAGATGCAAGTTCTGTTTCACAATTCATTCTAAAATAGTAATTCATACAGCGCAATGAAGCTTGAGAGATCAAACTGACAGGAGATGGTGGCTGGTATGGTGTAAACTAAGTAATGGGAGGATTACAGAATTAAAACTTGGGAAGCAAAAAAATATCAAAATAAATACTTTTTGTTACTGGAGGAATCCTTAATTTATTATGCTGCTTACCATGAAAAATTAAAAGTCTTCTTATATTTAGTTTTTATGTTTCTTAAAGCATGAATGATTCTGCAATGATCTTGGTATCAAGATTTCAAGGACGGAGCTTGCATTGGTGTTCATTTTTTATAAGTTTGCTTTCTCTCTAGAGCAACAACATTAAAGTCCCAACCATGCCTTTGTAAGCTACCAGTTAAATTATTAACATTTGAATATAGTATTGTAACTATTTTTCCATTAAAGCATATTCAACCCAAACTAGAAAGAAAAGGAAAAAAGCTTTAATAATTATATTTGGGACAAAAGAATAGGCAGAAGGCTAATTTCTTAGTCCAAAACACACTTTGCTTGACAGTGTAGTTTTTGTCACTTCTTTCCCCTACAGCTTTTAAGTGGCCATTCTAACGGCCTAAAAGTATCAAAAAGTTGACCTTATTTTTGTTTGTCCTTAAAGATTTCACCTCTGAACAGTCACACCCTGAGAAGTAGCAGCAGCAGTTCAATTATTGTGCTTTTAGTGTTATGCGTACATTATATAGGTTACATCACAGCTGCTTAGCCTGCAGTGCTTAGAAACTAGCCAGGTGGGACTGGAACATCTGTGCTGCACTCAAACACCACCAGGGACAGCTTCCAACATCTGGTGCCATTTCTGAATTGTCTTATCGCTGCAAGACATTCTGCCCCATCTGCTACTCTCAACTGGGTTAATTAAACTAGAACTATCTTCTTTATAATAAACGGCGAGCAGTAATAAAAGGAACAATTCACTTTCTAATACATGTGTACTTGTATTTCTTTTTAATGTTATTTTATTGTCGTCAATATCAGGAAGGCATGACTGTTTTTCAAAGGGGAAATGGTGTCTATCTACAGAACATGTATGATTTGATATAAAGCAGCAAATAAAGAGAAAGGGAGGACCATGCGTCTCTGAATTCCCACGGAAGGTTAATTCCATTGTAATACCTGTACCACTCTTTTTAGAAAAGATAGGAAATTTCAATCTGATGATGATGCCTGAACAGTATTTCAGTAGGATTTGTATTGAAGGAATTTATATAAAATATTTGTTTAGTCTGTTGTATTTTGATATTAAAAACCTTGCATTGGATATAATGTAAACGTGGGAGGGAGGTGGCATGAGCCAGTCAAATATCAAGTTGGAAACTAAGTGAGAAGATCAAACTTACTGGGTCTACTGCAAAGGAAACACTTTCATAGTAATACCTCATTTGCTTCCTGTTGAAGAAGGTGAAGATTTGATCTTTTCGTACATAGAACATACAGCATAGGGTCTGCATTCTCCTATGTCAAACCACAACCTCAAGATCAGCTGCTTTCCTGACAAGCCTAAAGAGGTAACCCATAGCTACAGCATTGACTAACCCCCTCACTTTGAACCCAAAGTTGTAAGGGATTTCTGAATATTCTTCATTCTTGCCAATTCTCTCTCTCTCTCATGTGCCTGTTTCATTTTCGGATTGAACACTAAGCTCAAGAGGAAAGAAGCAGAACCTAGATCAATAGCAACAAAAGCAGCTCTCAATGGAGGAAGCCACTGGCCTAGAGTTAAACCTAGTCTCCAATAATCCTAAAAAATAGCTCTGACCACCTACGTGCCACCATGGACATAGCACTGTCTTGTTGCTGTGACATCTCTATGCAAGTCTGTCTTCACACCTTCTGTAAAACAGGATGCAACTTACTTGGGCAACTTTAGTAATTTGTAAATCTCAAACTTCACCATCCCTTTCCTGTACTGTAAAGCTTGCTCAGTGTTCCCACATCTCAGGGGAAAGTGTTACAGCACCTACCGCACTGAAAAATACATATAGATGAGGAGTTGTTTAGCAAACGCCTCCACAGATCCTGGAACTCATAGTATTTCCCTGCCAATTTCTTTACAGGGGAGATCAAAGACTGCTTTTGACCCCTCCACTGTGTCTTGCGTGACCCAGGAAATGTTCCCACACCCTCTGCTGCAAGGAACATATTGGTCATCACAAGCGACCTGCATGTGAAGGACAGTGCTAATCTTCACAACATGAGCTATCCTCAAAGATTCCCACAGGAGATCTGTCGCTATAAATGAACTCTTTCCATCTGCCTTCGCAGGGCAGCAAGGAGATTATTTACAATGACCAGCTGGTAATATGCCTCTTCTCAATACCACTCCTCAATGCTGCTGAAGAAGGGAAAAATTGCTGTACCACTGTAGAGCAACAAAAAGAATCAGCAGCTCCGATGTGCTCAAATGTGGAGAGCTCCATTTGTTTGAAAAGGATTCAGTTTAAAAATGAAAAAAATTCTAAAAACAGAAGAATTTTAAAATTCTCTCATCTCCCATTAAAACTGGATTTAAAAGGGAAAGAATGAAGTGTTACAAAATAGGCTTTTTACAAAAACCTGATGAAGAGTATTTCCATGGATAAAGGGGCAAGGTGGAGGACAATGTGGATTCTGCTTTTGGAACATATCAGAATGACCATGGATCTCAGCATTCCCAAAATGCATGCCTCACCTCATCTACCTTTCCCTCAATAAAGGCAAATAAAAGTTAATCGTATGACAACTTTAAAGATCTTGGGAAGTGGGAAGGAGAGAAATTAAGACAGATACTAATTTATTATTTATTTTAACTTGGTTGTCTGGTGAGTACTATGGGTGCTGTTTCTACCCAGCATCACTGCTTTGTCACCCAGACTATTTTCAAGATCACACCATTATAGCACAGGCAGTATCTCAGATGATATTTATCACATTTGACTGTTATTTCATGAATGCGTAACATGTCCAAACTAAACAAGTTTGCCCTCTTTTGATAAGTGACATTGTGCAATGCAGCAGCATTGAGATGGTGCCATATTGCTCTTGGCTGCTAACGGTGTAATCTTTTACTGAATTTTCTTGCACTTATGGATTCATAAATAACCCACAAGATTATGAATTAAATACATTTTAAGTTTTATGTAAATCTTATACAATTATATCCAGCGGCGGCTCCAGACACCAGTGCTCCAAGCGCGTGCCTGGGGCGGCAAGCCGTGGGGGGTGCCCTGCCGGTCCCTGCAAGGGTGGCAATCAGGCAGCTTTCGGCGGCATGCCTGCGGGAGGTCTGCTGGTCCTGCAGATTCGGCGGCTGGTACTCTGAATCTGCGGGACCGGTGGCTCTCCCGCAGGCATGCCGCCGAATCCGCGGGACCGGGGACCTCCTGCAGGCATGCCACCAAAGGCAGCCTGCCTGCTGTGCTTGGGGCGGCAAAAGAACTAGAGCCGCCTCTGATTATATCTAGTTAATGATTATGCATCATACCACAAAGCTATTAGCCCTTGGTGTTGGGCAAAACTAGGAAGTGTGGCCTTAAAAAACAAAAACCATGTATTATATAAAAGAGTAACAAGTTATTTGAAAAAATTTAAATTTGTTTTGCTCAATGAATACAGCTGGAAAAACTGCAATCAATTCACAGAATTTAATTATTATAACCCAATCTGCTATGGGGAGGAGGCTCATTCAGCCCCACTATAAGCTACTACAAATACTGCGAGGAAAGAAGCACTACTAAGGTGCCCCATGTTACACAGAAACAGTAGCTTGTGTTAATTAGTAAAATTTCTGTTTGCAATTGAGAGAGAAACCTTCTCTCAAAGGTTTCTTGCCAACTAAAAGGGTCACACTGGTGCTTAATTCTCTGTTAAAATTGATCTTGATACTGAGGGGAAAAAATTACATCCAGCCATCTGACCATCCCCATCCTCCTCCAGTTAACTCTTCTTTGATTGTCCCATTAAAACACCTTAGATACATGACAAACTCCCTTTAATAGTTTATGATCCACTGTTTTAACTGTGGCTGGCATGAATGTCTGTAGCATGACACGAGACTTTTTTTTTTTAAATTTATATTATCTCTCTCTTTCTCACACCCACATCCATACACACCACACCCAACCCAGTTTTGTACTTCTGTAGGTAAGTCACTGAAATCTAAAGCTTGCCTAAAAGAGTTACTGTGGTTTCACAGTTTAGTGCTAGCGTGGACATGAGTGAACTTAAATTTCAGTTTAGTAGTCAGAGAATAATTCACCATAAATTAATTGAACAGCATTGTAACTTCAGAGTGAGTTTTTTGGCATTAGGGTTGGGGTTATCCAGGGGTCATGAGGAGATAAAAGAAATGAGTTTGCTTTTGCTGTATACATTAGATGTGGCTTGTGAATAGAGGTCATCCATTTCTATAGCTGCCTATCCCTTAACTTGTAACATGAGAAACTTAAAGCTGACTGGATTGTGCTTGCTTTTAGAATTAATTATAAATAACTCTGCATTATAACCCATGCAGTTTCTGACAGACTGATTTAGTGGCTAATCTTTATGATTTGCTAACCTTATTATTAATCCTATATATAATAAAAGCTGTGTTATCCAGCACTTTAAACCGGACTTTCAATGAAGACCAGAAATGCCGGTTTAGAGAGCTGTCCGGTTGGTATAGTCCAGTTGGCGCGGGGCCAGCAAGCTCCCTACGTGGCTCAGCATGTAGTGGCGACATGTCCCTGCTGCTCCTCGGTAGAGGTGCAACTAGGCAGCTCTGCGCCGGCCCCGCCCTAAGCGCTGGCTCCGCAGTTCCCGTTGGCAGGGAACCGTGGCCAATGGCACCTGCGGGCGGAGGCCGTGAGCAGAGGCATGTAACCAGGCCGCCGACCAAG